CAATTAAAAAGCATGAATGTTTAATACTAAAGAGCCACTTTACTAGTTTTACCAAAATGCAGTACTGTATCAGTTGTGTTGATCAGATATGGTTGAAAATTCCATTTAAACCCAAAATATGTAAGGTTAATTTAAAGATCTGTAACTTAATTTCTCATCTGGTTTACATTGCCATAACTCCATTGACTTCAGGTTAATTGATATTGATTTTCATCAATATAAGCTGGAGGAGACTCCAGACTACTTTTCTTAGAAAAACCGGGTGTTGCTTTGTGCTTTGTTTTTCTTAATTTCAGCTTGTTACAAAAATGGAAAAGCTTCTCATGGAATGGAAACTATGAGCGGTGTGGATTTTCAGGCAATCAAAACACTTTAATGATCTCATTAAATGTATCATTTACAACATCTATACGTTAAAAGAAATATGTTCCTTTGGGTTCGTAGAAGCTCTGAGTACACAATGTGTTTGAACATGTTAGGCTTCCACTAGAATCTTTGCCAGAACTGGAGAAACTTGGAGAAAAAAAACCAACCACATCACCCTTTTTCTTGTGCTGGAGTCTTTAGAGACAGAAACCTTTTTATTATGTTTTATGCAAAATGAAGAAAAAGATGTTATGGCAACTTGATAGATGATGCTAGGACTGCATTTCAGCTGATAGATATGTGTTGCTATTAAATGCTATCAGATTGACTTTTATTCTATGATATTACTAGGATTAGTGATGGATTTTCTTATGCATGAATCAACTGGTGTTTAGAAGGGATAGCAGCCTTCCTAAGACCACAATTTTGTCATCTCTTGAGTTTTGTATGTAGCCTTGAGAGCTTGGAAAATGAGGATTCTTGAAAAGATGTAGTTACTATAACAGTAGCTCTTAAAGCTGCTTCATCAATCTGTCTGCCTCTTATAAACCATAGATTCTAGAGGAAAACACTTATTTCAGACAGCCACTTTCCTGACTATATGCAATGGTGAAACCCCAGTGCTGATAAAAGGAGCGGGATACTGATGCAGAGACACAGATTCATCGATTTTTTTCTTGGGACATCCAGCTTTGGAACTGTAGGCACCTGGAGACAGTGCTTCCTAAAGCAATAATTTTAAATCCATCTTAATGAGAGATATGTCCAGCTTTCAAAACTGTATCTTTGCCAGATGTAGATATGGAGAGATGAGGTGTGCAAGCTGCTTGCCACCCTGAGCCAGGCAGCACAGCGAGCGACAGGCTTGGGCTGGAGAGCTGAAGCTATTGCATTATACCTCTGCTATTTCTTTTTATTGTAGCATTGTTCCTATAGTGGTTTGCTGACAAGTTGTGTGTTTTACAGATCAGCCCTGCTTGATGAGGAATCCTTGTGTAAATTCGTATCTGGGATAAATCGGGTTTGTAAATTAGACCGTATGGTTCCTATTGGAATGCTAATGATCTCAAAGGGAGGACTTGGGTTTTGAAAACAAATCTAAGCTAATGCCTGGGGTTTCTGAAAGAGCTGTTAATATCATGAGAACTCATGTTTAAGGCCCGTTTTAAAATGTAAAAACTTGTCAGGCACTGCTCAACGAAGGCTGTTGGGAACTGCTAAAGTGTGCGGACACAGCAAAGCATCCTTTGCATCGCCTGGCCAGATCTCTGCCGTTCTGTGTAGCAATTCCAAAATAATGACACATTTAACAGGGATTTGAACGTTCCACGTTCATTCAGATTAGTGTGAGCAGAAGATTATTTTCCAAAAACCTCTCTGAGCTGCAGAAGCAAAAGGTAGGAGACGAATCTGGGATTAGGACATCTCTCTTCCCTGCCAATCTAAGCGAATTCCTGTTGCTACCACCAATATATTTCCATGTGAATTAATTATGTTTGTAACATAATAAAGTGGGTCTTGCTCAGCTGTGATAGCTGATGGCATTTTAGCTGCTGCATCATCTTGATCCGATAAAAATCAGCATAAAGAGTGGGGTGGTTAACACGCCAGCAGCTCTGTTGATAAACTTGCTAGCACCAAGTGGCCATTCTATGGAGGAAAACGTTCTTTTAGGTTCATCATTAGCAAGTCCTTAATACATCCTGAGGGAGAAAGAAGATAACCATTTCCCTGTCTCAGTTGGTACTTTGTATTCAGTTATATAGAGTTATCTGTAGCACTCCACATAGACCTTTTAGGTAGAATCATTCCTGAGGGAAGAGACATTGAGTCCACCAAGCTTTAGGCCAAAGCAAGATTTTCTAGCTGGATTGCAAACCCCTAGGACAGGGCATTATGATGGAAATGCTGACATAGCCTTAATTATTTTGTACTACTCCAGTAGGCATCAGCTTAAATTCTAGGTACTGTGAGAGTTTAATGTCATGGGATCAAACGCAGTGTGTAATGGGATATTTTAAGATACTGTATATTTATGAAGCATATCATTTAAATACTTCTGAAATGTGCCATTCAGTCCTTGGTTGCAATAATAAAAAAAAAATCTAGTCAGATTTCTCAGAATGAACAGTAGCTTAGTTTTCTTCCACAGCCTTAATGCTAAGGCACCCTTACTGGAATAATTCTGAAAATTAAGGTTTTCATTTTTTTCATTATGTTGCTCTTTATTTCTTCATTTCAGCTTTTTGAGGTATATTTTGATTTCACTGGGAGAAGGACTTTGAAGATAATTTCTCTCCAGTTATCAGTGACTACAACAAGACAGCAGTTACTGGTATTTGCTGTCTTTTTCTAGACAAATCTGCTTTTTTTTTGTGCAGTATCCTCCATATACTTTAAGTTAGCTTGATAGCATAAAAGTTCTTTCTCACCCACACACAACCTAACGCATGCTTTTTTTTTTTTGTGCTGAGGAAGTAGTTGCTCCAAAATGGAAGCTGACGTTCCTTAGTCGCGTAGATTGTCAGTAAAACTTGCTTTAATGCAGATGTTGACTAGAACTCTCACTGCTTTAACTGCAAATGGGAATGTAGCGTTGAAAGCGGCTGGTTTTGCATGTTACTCAGTTGCCATCTGAAACATAAGGCCATACACTTTATCCTAGGAAAAAAGCTCCTCCTTCAGCAGTTATTTACTAAATAATAATGCTAGGTGAAATGGTTTCAGGGCAGAAGATTAGGAAGTTTCAAAGCTAATCTTATTAGGTTTGTGTAATAGTTTGAATCTTTTTTTAATTAATTAGTGATAATCTGCACAAAGATCTCAAAACACTTGGATAACGTTAAAAAAATGGAAACAATCTTTGGACAGGTGCCAGCGTGACTAAGCCAAAGAGACTCTGTCGCTGGTTTTTGTTAAGCCAGAACTCCACTCCTGCTGCATGCCATGAAGAGGGGAACCACAATTACTTTGCTTTCAGAAATTGCAGTAGCTGAGTCACGGTGTTGGTCCTGTGGTTTGCACTGGTTTATCTTTGGAATAATCGAATTTCCCCCATCGAGTGTGTAGGATGCAGTCTGGAAGAAGGGCTTGGGCTTTCATCCTGCAGTTGACCCGTTTGTCCAATTTTTGAGGAACATTGTACAAAAAAGACTCCACAGTGTATTATATTTCTGAAAATCTGCAAATTACGCTACTTTGTAAGCTTCCTTATGTGTGAGTGTTTTTTTGAGGATATAAGGAAATTATGTGCTTTTCTTTCTCTTTTAAAAAACAAGCACAAACTGATGATATATTCTAAACATCTAATAACTGGAATTCTGATTAGTTCAAAAGTTGACAGAAAAATAAAATTCTGTCTTAATCCTGCGGTAAGGTCTGGATTATTTAATTGCTTCGTTCCACATGATTCTTATAGGTGCAATCTCTTTTTCTTTACTTTTGGCAGTCAAATGACACAAAAAGGTACTTGAGTTTACAAGAAAAATTATTATGAAAAAGACACTTCACATTATTTAATAATTTTGCAGCAGCCTATCGTTTGATTGTCAGGGAACAGAAAATACTGAGAAGAATATCTCAAAAGAAGAGTTCCATAATGAAAAAAAAAAATACATGCGTTGAATATACAAGCTGCACTATTTAGGACTTTTGAATTTTGATAAGAGTATTTTACAAGTGCAGTCATTTTCACTGACTTTTCTGCTTTCCATTTGGATGAAGTATCATCTGTCACCACTCAATCATTTTTCTTTTAGCTATTAAAAAGGCATGTAATTTTAAATTTTGTGGCTCATTAGTGTGCAAATGCCATTGGGCTTGTTTAGCCCATAGTCATGGTCTAAATTCAAATCTTTCTGCTTTTGAGGAGACTGTTGACCAGGTTTTAGAAACGCAGCTGTAATAACCTAAAAATCAAGATGTGAAAATCTAGATTAAAAAAAAAAAAACAAACAACAACTTGAAACAAATATTATTTAAAGTAACTCTACAGGAAGTGGAAAGAGGTACACAAATTTTTCAAAGCAATATAGTGAACAGAATACGGAAATACAATAGTGTATATACGTCAGCTGATAAAGCTGAAATCACAGCCTCATGATCTCACTGAACCTGAGGGACAAAGAATCCCAAATAACAAGAAAAGTAGAACACATTCAACCATTACAATCTTTTGGAGAATATGTAGTATTGGGATAGTCTCATTTTTTTATTTTATTAATAAAATAATGTATTTAGATATATGCGTTCCTTAAAAAAAAAATTTAAAAAAGGAAAAAGAAATGGCAACAAAAAACTTGAGGGTGGTCTAAGATGTCTGTCTTCTTTATGTAACCTTTTGCATTTTGTGTTTAAGAACTGACATTCCAAATGATTTTCTTTGGCTTTATGCCTGGACTGAATACTGAGGCAGCAAATTAGGAATGCTTAACAAGTCCCACAAAGAAAGATCTTTGCTGTGAAAGTGCAGCTAGTATGACGCTTGCACATTAAAAATGATAAAAGATGGCACAGGCCTAGGTGCTGTGAGGTGAGGGAACGAGGACTGAGAGTACCATGTGCTGAGCCAGCTTCTCATGGCCAGTTAGCTGCCACTGTGACCATGCTGATAATACCTTTTATTTCTATTCCAGGGGCTAACTTCGTTACTCGAAAGATCAGCCGATCGGTAGCAAAGATTCACCTCGGGCAGCTGGATTGTTTCAGCCTGGGCAATCTGGATGCTAAGAGAGACTGGGGCCATGCCAGGGACTACGTTGAGGTAGGCCATGAGCCACGTGCCTTTTTGTGGATCATCTTCATGGTGGGTGGGGATAATGCTTATTGCTATTTTGCCTATTGAGATGCCTGTTAACTTTGTCTTGCTCTTGATTTCAGACTAGAGAATTTAGTTAACAGAGCAGTCTACCCCAGGCATGACCTGAACAGAAAAATAAATCTTTGGGTTTACATTCCTTGACTAAATTCCTTGGGGGAGGGGGCTGACTGTAAAGTGGATCTGTAGTAGAGTATTTCTCCCATTGTTTTGACAAATTTTATAACCAATATTAAAACTGCAGCAAGATGCAATGTGACCTGAAGCCAAAGATCCTGCTGGAGGTTGGTGACCTTTATTATAATGAGGCAAGAATAATGTATATGTTAATGATCAAAGGTCTAGCTGGTTATACATTAGAAGGAAGCATCACAACGTAGTTTTGATGGCGGGTATTACAACACATGTTCGCCTCCGTCTAGTGTTTGAAATGTTTTTGTAGTTGGGATTTGTTTCTACTTTTATTCTATGCATCTACTTAAGCCTACAAACAAACAATACCCCTGTATTGTATTACAAGGAGACATGAATGACCACATAGGAAATATTGTCTTTTCCCCAGGAGATTTTTGTCCCCATTTTGGTGCTTAAAGATTTCCTGTCGTCATTGGACTATTTCTGTCTTAATAATTCCTTGCTGGGAAACCGGATTTGGCTTCACCATTCATTGATGTAGTTTAAAAAGATGATGACTGTTTGTTTTGGTTTTTTATATTACAAAGTAAGAAGTGTTTCAGTAGGAAAGTGGAAGTTTTATCATAAGAGGAGATTTAAAAGGCAAAATAAAAGCTGAGCTCTCAAATCTTGTTTATGGTCAAAAGGAAAAGCATGAAAACAAAATCCTGATACCACAATACAAACTTTTGTTCTAGATGATATTAAAAAAGTAAACAGCCATATCGCCATGGTATTGAAAGGTTTACATCAAGTAAGTGAAGAAGGTGATTTTTGGCAACTGGCTATAAATAAAGTTGGCTTTTAGATCTGTGTTACATTTGCATGTAAGGTGTTGAGGGCACCAAGAATGTCATGACTGTGCCTCCATGACCGTTGTTTTATATTTGTGGTTACAACATCAGTTGAAGCAGTTAGTCCAGTAAACCTTCTCAGTCATCTTTTTAATGGAGAAAACTGTAGTAAAGACTGTTCATAAAGTCAGTTGCCAAGTCTCAAGTGAAGGGAAGTAAAAGATAAGCCAAATAAAATGATCAGTTGCATGAACATGATGAGCATAATTTGCTAACAGTCATTGGATATTCAATAAATACTTCAGCTGTCTCATTCCAAGGCAGCTTGCACCACGTTATAAATCATGGAATGAATTCTCACGTCTTCTTCCATGAGGGAAATCCAGAATAACCCTCTTGTGCCTAGTGGGTCAGAGCCTTGTCCTGTGCTCAAACCTCTAAAAACAAAAAGGAAATGAGAATAAGTCTATCCAGAAGAATGACTGTGTTTCAAGGCCTTTGGTCTCCAGAAGGAATATAGTTGTCTGAGGTCTACAGCATGAACACATGTTTGTTGTGTAAGTAGCATTCCAGACCTTTCAGCTACACATTTTGGGCCTGTCCCAAAATCTTCTGGAAAGAATTCCTCACTAAAATATAGTTCATCTTGAGTATTTCTCTTCCTGGAGAGGTATCCCTTCGGATGATGGGAGAGTTATTATCAAGTCTCTAATTCCCTGAATATTGTGGAAATGTGGTTACAGGCAGTCTTCTAATGGCTAAAAAAGAGAGTAACTTTAAACTGGAAATAAACAATTATTTGAGGCTTTAATGGACTGGAAAGTAGGGCTTAGAGATTTAACGTTGTTCATATAAATACATAGTATGTTAGAAAGCATGGTCATATTTACAAGCATTTGGGGAGCTTCCTTAAGCATATGGCTGGACACACAGGGATATATCTTATCCTCTCCATATGTACTTTTAAATCCCATAGATATTAATACAAGTAACACATGTGTGTATAGACTGGACCATATACTGTGTTTTCTTTCTCCTTATTTCCTTATTAGGGATAATAATAAAACCATAAATACATTCCTTCTTGTTGTTTTATAAAACATTATGGGTCAATTCCTGATCTCATGAAAGTTGATGACCAAGCTCCCATTGACTTTGTGGAGAGATCGTATCCTGTATGTATTGGAGTGAAGAACATCTGGTGGTTACAAAGCACAACCAAAAGTCAGGACTCTTGAGCTTTGATCGCCACCATGAGTTTGGGCAAACGCTTCTGTCTGCAGTAAAGCATGGAAGTACATAGGTGCCCACCAAGGGATGGGCTGCCAACGTGCTCAGCACTAGCAGTGGGTTGAGCTGAGCTTTGTAGCAGATGATTGAGAAATCTGATGTTTAAAGATAGGTTCAGATCACGGGACAATAGGTGGAATCTTGTGTTCGATCAGGTTTTTGGGCTGGGACTTGAACTACCACCTTCAGGAACTGCCCGTCGGGTACAGTGGTGTGGTGTTGGTGAATGGCAATCCGGAAGTCAAACTCAGAGGGAAAGGTTTCCATTCAATGTTTGAAGAGAAAAATAGAAATAAGCAGGCATAAAAAATTTTTTTGGGGGGGGATTGTAAGTTTTATCCTAAAATTATATTAGTAACTCTTAAAATTTTTGCAGAAATTGCTGCTGCCTCTTGCTCCCTCCTTCTCCATTTTTACTGTACTATGATCCAGCACAGGTCTCATGGGATGGTATTAGATTTGATGTTCAATGTCACTGAGTTGGAAGAGAAAAAACAATATATCAGCGCTATTGATATATGAATCTTCTGTGTGCTGCTTTGTTTTGTGAGAGTAACTTACACCTTTTATTTGTTGCAGAAAATTCTAGTAAACCATCTGCTAAGTATTTCACATGTTAGTACAATAGCAAGCCTTAACAGTCTGACTCATGTCTATGCCATTTATAAAACACAAGGCATGGGACAAATTTCCTCAGACGCTCACCCAAGAGTCTTATTTCAAATAAATATAGATTCTCAGTTTTGCCATTTATAAAATACCTATCAATCCATCACTAGTTGGTTGGGTTTTTTAATCTGATATGTGGTTAATACCGTAAATGAAGTCATGGTAGTATTACTACAACCTTAAAGTGTTGAGGATGTAACGGAGGCACTTATCAGCTGCTGGTGCTCAGGTTGCCTTCTGCAGTTGCACTGCCCACTGATTAATGCTGTGGAAAAGCCTGTCAATATAGATCTTAAAAAAGTAAGAAAAAAAAACCAAACCCAAAACGTGTCAAAGGTAACGGTTTTAATAGTCTTTAAGTATTTGTATGGATCAGAAATATTTTCTTTTGCCTTCAGTAGGAATCCAGCAGTATTTCAAGCAGTAATTACAGAGGATTCACAACTGGGAAATACTTGGCTCCAATTTAATTAATTACTGGTCTAGTCAAATACTTAAAATTAAGCATGTGCCTAAATTCATGGTGAAACCAGGGACTATTTGTTATTCTAAGTGTATGGCAATCAGCTTCCATTAATTGATATTTAAACAGTAAAAAAAAGCACAAAGAAACAGTTTATAAATAAGGGTTTATACATAACTAATATAGCAGATTATTATACAGTCCAACCAAGCACATTAAGAAGCTATTTAAAGAGGGACTTTCCATCTTTTTCTATTTTTTTTCTTTTAATTGGCTTTGGTGCTCATTTGGAATTCGTAATTAAAATGCAGAAGAAAATTCACAGTCATTTTTATTATCTTAAGCCATTTTGCACATGTTGACATTTAGATCGTAAAATCCAATCTACACTGGTGCCTTCTGTGTTTAACTCTCCAGTAAGCATCACCTGGTCTTTTATTTACGATTCCTGTATTCACCATTCCAAGAGTTAGAGACTGACCCTTGAAGACAGCTGCTACCATTTCTGTGGTGGGAAATCCCTTCTTGCATGTTTGTGTGTATGTTTAAACGTCTCTGTCTCTTGCCAGATAGAATTATTTAAAATTTTACTTTACTCTTGTGCATAAGAAAAGTATTCAGCCAGCAAGACTGTTGACCAAGGCATTTCTAGTTCTGGGGTTTTGTTTTCTTGAAGTTTTAAGGATGTGTCTTCTTTCAAGATACGTTTTACCTTAGTCGGATGAGACTCAAATTTTTTTCTGACACATAATTTCATCAGCCCAGCAGAACACTTGCTTGTAAGAGTCTTGCTTTGTTGGGGATTGTTGGTTATAAAAGGAAAGCTAATTATATCTGTGTAACTGTCAATATATCATACGATTATGAGATTGGCTCGTGAACTTAAAGGCATGCTTTTAAATGAGGATCATCCTTTTATTATGGAGCAAAGTGAAGAATGTTTTTCCCTTCTTACTGCTTATTTTTTGTGCTCAAAGTTAATCAGATCTAGTAAAAGTTAAGAAATAATTTTAAACCCTCAATGCTGGAATTCTTTGAGTATAAAGTTAAAGATTTTTGAGCAATCCAGGTACTCAAATATTGCATATTTCCAAAAGACAACTTTTCCTATCAGCTTTCTCAAGCAGGGATAGTTATCAAACTGATCTTAAAATTACATCCAATCTGCTGGAATTCATGTGATGATCCACTGAACCAATCATCTTGCTGCTGCCAACTAGATGAAGTAATTGCAAGAGCAAACCTTTCCCTTGTGAAGAGAGAACGTGTTTTAGAACAATTGTTACAGTAAAAGTTTTGCTTTTTAATGCCAAATAAAAGCTTACGTTTTGGTAAAGAAGGCTGCACAATTAAAAAAAACCTTATAATACATTTCTTTCAGCACGTGTAGTTTAGATTAGACTTCTTGACTGTTACAAATAGTTGCGATTGCCAGCAGATTAACACGCTATCATCTTTATTTTTCTCAAGTAGATGATGTCTGCATTAAAGAAAAACAAAACCAAATCCGTCATGGTTCTTGAAATGCTGAAGTCTGTAAATAATGGGATTCTAAA